TTGTTGAATATGTTACGGCCAAATTATAATCGCTGCATGACTGAAAATGTAGTATCAGATCCAAACACTGCTGAAGAGCCCATGTCAAGTCAAGAACACAATTTTCAGCAATCTGCATTGTGTAAAGAAATTGATTCTCATAATATCAACGACACTGGGAAAGAACCGCCCCTGTCTGTGGGAAAGAAGCCATCCCAATGAATTGGGTTTATAAGAAAGGTTAATGCTTACGGAGATTCCGTGCATTGTATGCAAGTTGTCGTTATATGGTCTGAAACAATCTAGGCGGTTTGGGAACATAAAGCGCAATTGAAGGCTAGTTAGTTTCGGCTTGTAGCGCTGCGAATTCGACAAATGCGTATATATTCCATTCGCTGACAAAAAATTACGGTTCCTTGTTGTTTAGGTGGATGATGTCATGAACAAACTAAAAAATAAGCTCTCTGAAATTTTCAAAATAAAAGATCTGGGTGCAGCATCATCTGTTTTGAGTATGCGTATAGCTCAAAATCTAAAAGAAGGAACTCTGAGGATCGATCAATCTTGCTATATTGCCGATGTAATCCGACGTTTCGGCATGGAGGAATGCAGTCCCGTAAGCTCACTCTTTGCTGTTTTCTCGGAGATGTGCCCAACTAATAATGACGACACATAGGAAATAGGTTACAAAAATGTCTGTAACTAAAGCAAAATCTGCTATAACCACATTTGCTAGTAAAACAAGCACTTTATTTTTGTTCCGTTATTTATAAAAAAAAAATATAATTGACAGCGTTTATTTTTTATCATAACAACAATACCAACAGATAAATACTAAAATCGTAATATTATAAACATTTTCTCGTTTATTAATGAATTTCAATATGCTTCGATGAAAAACAACATTGCACTACTTTTTAAAACTTTGAATAAAATTAATCGTCCCGGCTGAGTGGCAAAATTTCGTTCAACACTTACTTAAAATAGTTGAACACATCTCCAAAAAATGGATCAAAACTATATTTTAAACAACTACAGATATGTGATTAAAAAAGTAGCCACCAAGTCTGAGAGAGTTAACAATTTATCTAAAAGTAGCTGGTGTTTGTACTTAAGAATTGTATACCTCAGTGAAGAAAGTGTGCGAATGAATTTTTAAGAAAAAATGTGTGTTTCAACAAAATAAAGCAATTCGAGTTTATATATTTATTTTAGTACTTATGTCTTTTGAAAAATAACAAGTAAGATTTCTTGTCATCTATGTACATATGTATGGAAAATTTTTTTAATAATTATTTTATCTCCATTGGGAATACTTCATGTACTTCAACACAAGTGTATACTGAATACTAAAGATTATTTTGATGTGACATTTGGCATAAATGTATCTGAATGTCATCCTAACCTTGAAACCAAAACTACATCGGCGAATGGCACTAATTTTAAATTAAAAAGTTTTACTATATTTTATCTTATCTTACCCTGAGGCCACGTCGCACATTTCGTGCGACACTTAAATGTTACCCTTAGGCCACGTCACACATTTTCGTACATTTTAATATGGAATTTTACATGGAATTTGGATTCTCTGGCCTGCGGTGAACATTTTGGTGTATTTCCCATAGCCGCTGTGTATTTTTAATGGTTTTTTTTTGGGTAATAAAAAAATTGGAAATTGAAATTTGTCTTTTTATTCATTCTTTTAAAAATGAATTCATTTATGAGCAAAAAAATATATAAAAAAATAATGCAACTAAAATATAATTTTATCAAAATTTATTCTTCTGGTGGGAATATTTAGGAAAACATTGTACACATAGTTGTGGTTTATTGGGACATATTGGGCAGTAAGTGGTGGTCCCTTTTAAGCTCTTCCTGGCTGTTACCCTATTAGTAGATTTTCTTGATATGGCATAACATAAAACGCAAGCACACCTTATTGTTTTTCCGTTATCGTCCTTTCTTTTTTCTAGAAAATGTTTTCCTTTTCTTATGGGTTTTGGAGACATGAAATCCAACAAAGCATTTGAAATCTCCTGCCGAAACTTGGTTATTGAAATTTGTTTGTTTGTAGCCTTTTTATATATTATAAAGGCATTTACGACAGACATTCCAAGTAACAGTTCAAAAGCCACTTTGCGGTACCACTTAACACCTCTTCTGAGRGTGGTGGCGTAGGAGGTCATTTGATCGGATATATCAACACCTAATTTGGTTTTGTTGTAATCAATAACAGCAAGAGGTTTTTCAATAGCTCGTTGTCTTCGCTTCCTGGTGGATTGTTGGTACTGGTGGATGGTTCATTACTGTCAACATTTGGATGGCTCGACGGGCTACCATTACAGTGGGTGTTTCGTCGAAAGAATCCTAACATCTCTGATGTCCTTCCACTTTAACACAACCACTCCATTTCCCTCCTCACGGGCTACCATCTCGCCTCTTTTCAGATTAGCTTTCATAACTTCTGCCGGACAATTCTTTTTGTTGGCCCGTAATGTTCCAACAAGGTGGGTATTTTGATGTAGCATGTTCATAACTAGTATAATAGTTATCCACATAAAGGGTACGGCCTTCTCCTTTCAGAAAACAAAAAAGTTCTTCACAAACTTTTTGTGCGAGACCAGTTTCTCTCATGCCTGTGGCGCTGCTGCCCGTGTACACTTTTGCCGACCAAGTAAATCCCTCCTGAGTGCACAACTTAAAAATTTTAAAACCCATATGGGTGGGTTTTGTTCGGAAGGTATTGACGGAAACTCAATCTTCCTCTCCAAGGTATAATGCTTTCGTCAATGACAATATTTTCTCCTGGCATGTAAACTTTCTGGAAATTAGCCTGTAGCATGTCTAAAATTGGGTTTATTTTTCCTAGTTTATCTCCAGGAAGAATATCTCGATTGTCGGCAAAATGTATGAAGTTTAACACAAGTTGGAAGCGATTGCGAGGCATTGTTTTTGCGGGAACTCCAAAATTAAACATAAATTCTTTGGACCAATATGTTTCGAGACTGCCAACCTTTACGAGACCCATCCATAATATGAGTCCAAAAAACTTTTTAATTTCATGATTGGTTGTGGGACTCCACATTAGTTTACGAGGTGATCGTGTAAGAATTCTCGTTTCCAATTGTTGTTGCGCATATTTATTTGTTTCACGAACGATGTGGTCGATTATTTCATTATCGACAAAAAGTTTGAAAGCATCTATGCTTAAAAAGGACCACCACTTACTGCCCAATATGTCCCAATAAACCACAACTATGTGTAGAATGTTTTCCTAAATATTCCCACCAGAAGAATAAATTTTGATAAAATTATATTTTAGTTGCATTATTTTTTTTATATATTTTTTTTGCTCATAAATGAATTGATTTTTAAAAGAATGAATAAAAAGACAAATTTCAATTTCCAATTTTTTTATTACCCAAAAAAACCATTAAAAATACACAGCGGCTATGGGAAATACACCAAAATGTTCACCGCAGGCCAGAGAATCCAAATTCCATATTAAAATGTACGAAAATGTGTGACGTGGCCTAAGGGTAACATTTAAGTGTCGCACGAAATGTGCAACGTGGCCTCAGGGTAACATTTAGGTGTCGCATGAAAACGTGCGACGTGGCAGCCAACGTGTTAATGAACGCAAGCACACATTCATCGAGCAAAGTGGATTTATTCATAAGACCAATTCCATACTCCTCTCCCCCAGTATGCTTTTGCCTACAAGCGACTTTTGGCAACGACATTTTCCTCGTCCTGACATTGCGGTTACTTTGCTAGATTATGGGCGAAGGGCGCAAATTAATCATAAGAAATCAATCTGGAAATCTAACATAAAAGAATAGCGGAAAAACTGGAGCGTTGATATAAAGGTATATTATAATATGAGATATACAGAAATATTTCAACCAGAGTAAAACGTAGACGGTTCCTCTAGTACATACTATAAAACAAAGGCGCTTTTTCTGTCACTATGTCCCTTTGTATGCCTAAATCTTTAAACTACGCAATGTATGTTTTTTGCACATTTTAGAATTCACTTTTGGTAAAACTTGGTTGTCACATGGTTGTGACTTGATTTTCCAAATTTGATAAACTTTGTTCGTCACTAAAAATTAATTTCGGCTAAGACTTGGTACCATGATTTCCTTGCGAACTCCAAACGCTTTATGTTTCACATAGTACATATAAGCGGCTTTATTCGTGGAGTATGCCCATGTAACCAGCGTATATAACGTATTACATCATACCAAGTGAGGCTTTGATTACTTTCTGGAATTGAAGTGAGTGGCTTTTCTTTTATTTGTTCTTTTCTTTCTGATCGCTGCACCAACTTCAGCGAATTCCTATACAAAACGCTGCGGATGGTTGAAACGCTTCTACTCGTATTGGTTGATTTTTATATCTTCTGCAACGTTATTCCCTGTTTGCGAAGGATATTTTATTTGCAAGATATTTTGTAAAAGTAAATATTTGTTCAAGTACCAAGGAAATATACTTTTGGAGTAAAAGTTAAATTTGGAAGCGTTTCCTTACTATCCACAGCGCACAAATATGGTTTTCACAATATTGCAACTTTGGCTGACTTCCTGTTGAAAAATTTAATAGACTTGAGTGAGGACGAAGGTTTCTGAAGCACATCTGTTTTATTTCCAACATTTTTGTCATCGCAATATTAATCCTATATAGTGTCAATTTTAATATTAAGAATTATTTTTAACTTTTTAAATTGTAATGCTGTAAAGACGTTTTTTAGGTTTTCTTAACTACATTTATTCTTTCTTCGAATGTGGTTTCTTTTTTTTATAAATAATTTAAGGAATTTTTCTCAGACAGACAAAATGACCGTTCAGGCTGAACATAAATTGCTACTGACAGCTTAGAACGTCAGGAATAATGAAGGGACTTCAGCAAAGCCTGCTAGAAACTAAATATCTGAATACTTGCAATAAAATTATTCTGTTCAACATGTTCGACAATAAAAGAAATACAATTTTATATAATTATTTTCTTTCTTGTTTTAGAGATGAGGTTACGATATTGCAAACAGAAAGGTATTAAAGCAGACACTTAAACAAGCAAGCCATAACAACTTCTGGTACCGCCAATACCAATACGTTGGTATCCTACTAACGGATGAGAGCAGCTGTTCCAGAAAAAATAATATTTTCAGATTAATAAAACTTCTGAAATATATATGTAATGCGGAAATTAAGGAAAAGGTCATACAAGTAAAACCAACAAAACTATCGTTGAATTACCTGTTGAAGTAATAGATATTAAAATGACTTCAGAAGACCTTTTGCAACCAGGTCACGTGGTCAAAGAGCGATGGAAAGTATGTCATTTGAATAATATATTTTTTTAAATTCAATATCCTTTGTATTAGGTTGTGCGAAAAATAGGTGGGGGGGGGTTTGGAGAAATTTATGAAGGGCAAGATTTGATAACTCGCGAACAAGTTGCGCTAAAAGTGGAATCAGCACGTCAGCCAAAACAAGTTCTAAAAATGGAGGTAGCCGTTCTAAAGAAATTGCAAGGCAAAGAACATGTTTGCCGCTTTATAGGTTGTGGACGAAATGACCGTTTTAATTATGTTGTTATGCAACTGCAAGGAAAAAACCTTGCTGAACTACGTCGAGCGCAACCTCGTGGAGCATTTTCTTTGAGTACTACCTTGCGACTTGGACTACAGATATTAAAAGCTATTGAATCCATACATTCAGTAGGATTTTTACACCGTGATATTAAACCTGTAAGTACACTTAATTTTTTAATCTATTCGTGCAAAATATATTATTCTTGAAGAAAATCTTGTACATGTAATTATTGAATTCAATATTCACTATAACACAAACGTAGTTTGTCTGTATTAAATACATGAGTATATTCCTTGTTATTACAATAAATTGCTGTTGCAAACATATGTACACATTTAGCAAAATGTTTTTTTGTTTACGACATACAGTGGACCAATACAGTTTACATACACCTAGTTCTATTAAATTACGGCGTGTTTATTTGTTATAAAATTAATAAATTTTGTGTTTTTTTTTTCTATCCATGTCAAAATATGTGTAGTATATTTAGCATTAAATTTAGTATATCAAAATATATTTTTTTTACGCAAATAAAGAAAATTTATGCTAAAGCTTAAAATGGGCATAATTTACATCAAAAAAGTGTACATACACTGATGATTATATAAATCAAAAGTAATTACAATAGTTTTAGCAGTTTTTGGCTTACAGTTTGTTGCTATTATTGTCCCATCGATGTATGCTCCCCACTAAATTTCTAGTATTATTTCCAGATATTTTGACCCACTAAGTCCATGATTCAGCTTTTTGGCCTTATTTTGATGAAATTCGATGTTTTCGAATACGATTTTCCAAAAAGTTCCAAATATTTTGAATAGGATTAATGTATGGTGCTTGCGGGACCTATGGAGTTATTTTTAATTCCATAACAACCCTGCACGCACAAGATACAGTAGTTTGGGTCGGTATCCTGTTTGAAATTGATTTTGCTGCTATTAACAGCCGATTTAAGCACTTAAATTTAAATTATTTTGTTGAAATGATCAGAATAATCATCAGTGTACGTAAACTTTTTTGATATAAATTAGGCGCATTTTCAGCTTTAACACTACTTTTTTTTTATTTGTTAAAAAAATATATTTATATGCTATATTTTATGTTAAATATACATATCTTGAAATGGATAGAAAAAAACCAAAAAATTTATTTATTTTAAAACAAATAAACGTGTCGTAATTTAATGAAACTATGTTTATGTAAACTTTATTGGTCCACTGTAAGTCAATTGAAAAGTCGCCGGTCTACCATAGTAAAACACATTTTTTGGCAAAATCTATTTTTTTTATTCAACATAGTTCTTCTTAAAAGTGATAACGATCCTCCAACTTTTCGATAACATTTTTGTAGTACGATTTGTCTCTTGTTTCATATTAAATACCAGTTTTGGCGATCATTCTGTAGACGAAACTTTTTTCCCAGCTAGCTTTCTTTGTTATCTACGATCGCTGTTTTTAGTAAGCTTGCGATATATGTATATTGTACAGAGCTTTCTCATACTCAAATATTCGTGGATGCTATGATGTCCACGTTTCGTTGACATTTCTAGAGTGCCTGCTATCTCGAACAACTTAGCTTTAAAGTCATCCAAAATTATTTTTTGGACATTTTACCACGTATAAACTTAGCATACCAATCCTTGGTGTTTGTTTTTCCTTGGGCAGTGTCCGGAAACTCGCCATTAAGCCAAGTTTTTGCTTCAACTGTATTTTTCCCTCAAAAACCAATATTTTATGAACACGGGAAATTTTTCGCCTCACGTCAACTTTGGTTATGATAAATTCAGAACGTCAGATTTTGGGCGTTGCCGACTGCACCTGACTGAACCAGCTCCAATAACTAAATCAACACTGCTTCCAGTGTTTTTGCAAATCGGTGCAACTTTTTTTACGAATTACAATTTTACTACTAATTTTAATTACAAATTATAATTTAGTTTTTAACATGGCCACGTGTCTTGTCTATTTTACATCTACTGTGGTATTGCTGAATTAAGAAAGTCAGATTTTGCGCGTTGGCAGCTGTACTCGCACTAAGCACTCTTAAATTTGTTTTATTGATGTAAATGTTATATACCCATTGTATTTGTTATGAAATTATAATTATTCTTAGAAGGTCAAGCTTTAAATTTAATAATTTTTGCAACACGAATAAAAAGAAAATGTATTATTTTCGCCGCCGTTAATATTATTAGTTTACAGTAAATATATGATATACATGATAGCCTAACAAGTAGAATTTTTCAGTTACGGGTTTTTTTGGCAAAGAAATCAAATTATATTAATTTACAGCATATACCAAAGCAACTTGTCTTCATAATACAAATTGGTGCTATTGTTTAAAACGCCATAACCCGAAAAAGTTAACGTTTTAGAAGTGTTTTAGTCAAGAGACTGTTATAGCTTTGACAAACGGCAGCATTAAGCCGGATTAACTAAATTAATTGGGATTAATTTAGGAGTTATCGAAGTTAACTCCAAACCTAACTCCCAATTAATCCTCAAAACTGTAGAGAGTTAGTTGCATTTTCTTTGGCAACATTGTTAAAAATGCCCAGTTTTAGTCTATTGTGAATGAAATACAAGCAGCACTGACGGCTATTTTTTAAATCTTCAATAATAAAACAAAAAGTTTTATGTTATAGCCCTGACAGACAAGCAAAATTAATACTCCTTAAGCATCGTTAATGCGCATTGACATTTGATGGTGACAGACGGCAGATTTTTGCAGCATTAGACAGCTGATTTTGAAATTTGTTTGTTCATTTAAAAAAAAGTGAAAGAAAAATTAATAAGAGAAATTAATAATAGAAAGTTTGGTATTGTTTAAAAATCAATATAAATATAACAAAAAATTCGTTTATTATTAACTACATTCAAAGATAATAGAGCGAAATTAAAAGCAATAATTGATTGTAATGCGAAAAAAGTGGGCGAAAAAAGTTAAGAATATTGGGAAAAATGGATAGCAAACTGTGCGTTGTTTTTGTCTTCCATCTAAACATATTAATTTTTTTTCTTAATATACTTACACATAATTTAATTAGCAATATAAAACTAAAAGCGGCATCTATATTTATAATATAATATAAGCAAATATGTAACATTTTGGTCTAATGTTTTTGCCATTTCTTCGTCAGTCATCAAAAATTTGTATTGTCTAGCGTATATGGAAGACGAAGCCCTTTATGTTGGTCAGTTCTTCTTCTTCTTTATTGGCGTAGACACCGCTTACGCGATTATAGCCGAGTTAACAACAGCGCGCCAGTCGTTTCTTCTTTTCGCTACGTGGCGCCAAT